AGGCAAATTTTTGGAAGTCTTGACTTTCATCATATGTTCAGACTTACCCTCATTATCTCATAAGACCAGAGAAAGTGGTAACATGATATATCTAAATTTTGGCAAAAAGCTAACCAGGTATTTTATATTTTTTAAACAAATAGAGAAATTCTAGATGATAATTGTTTGGATTCATAATTGAAAGGACATGTTCAAAGAGTCCAAATTCATAGATTGATGTTTATGAAATATTGACTCTACTTAGCCTGGCCTTATTATTAGTTGCTAATTTTAAATAAAGATGAAGATATAAAAGTCATTATCACATTTTCTGGTTTGAAAGAGAAATAAGATGGAGAGGAAGTTAACATGCCAGATGACAGAATAGGATCTAAAAGATGTTTCAGGTAGGAAAAGGTGAAACTTATTGGAGGCGAACATAAACCTAAAAGTATATAAAATATTGCATTAGAATTCCAGACACCATAAATATAGGATGGAGGAAGCATGACTTGATAGCGCCATCTGTAAATAAAGTAAGCTCATGGGAAATAGCAGTGTGATATGGCTGCCAGAAAAATGCCATGCTGGCTTCCGCTCTTTTAATAGAATCAGGGTATCTCAGATGAGGCAAAGCTCTGCCACTCCACTCCACTCCACCAATAACATCTTCTCATACATGAGTTCCTTTCCGAACACCTCATTTTTAGAAGGTTGTGCACAAACTGAAACATGGTCAGGGAGCAAAGAGGAGAGTGAGAGAAGTGGAAATAGTGTCTGATGAGCAAGAAATTTGCCAAAGGAAAACTCAGGGGACAGAGATTGTTTTCATGGGAAAGTGTTATAGCACCTGGTGGAGTTTATGGTCATGAGGGCAGGAGATGAGGTCTCGTGAAATGGTAGGGGTGCATTAGTTCTCAAGTCAGGAAAACCAAGGGTTGGAGTCCAAGCCATTCTGTAAGAGACTGTTGGCCACAAAGAGCTGCTGCTCTGCCTTCCACAAAGCATCTGGGCGCCAAGGACACCATCCCTGCAGCACCACTACTCGTCCTGGCCAGGTATGGTCTCCACAGATCAGCTCTGACCCACACTGTCCACACCAACTCCCACCACTGTCATCTGAGCCAGTTGTGGAGCCAAAACACAGAGGTGTTCCCTGCCTCCTTCCATGTGAGGCTCTCCCTCCCATCTCAAACAGCCACCAGAGGGCTCATGGACTCCCTAAGGCATTGACTTTTAGAAAATTGGTTTTCTAAGTTGAATTGAAAAGTTTAAAAACAGTGGAAGCCTGAGGAGAAACCATATGAGAAGACTTTCTCTCCCTGCCAATGAAATTCATTCATTTCAACCACCTTATTATCTCCATTCCTGCACCTTTTATCTTGCTTTACATTTTTAAGGTAATGAGTTGCCTTCGAATTATTATGTCAACTGTCTGGCAAAGTTCTTATGTTTCTTTGATTTTTATGACCCTAACATTTCCTAGAGGTAGCTGGTGTCAGTTTGAGAGACAACTAGAGTAGTGAGTAGAAAATAGACCTTAGCACCAGAAAAGTTTAAATTTAAATCCTTGCTCTGCCACTTTCTAGCTATGTGACCTTGGGCAAGTTAATATAAGTGGTGATTAACTTAATCAATGAAAGTTTGCTGAATACCTCCTGTGATACCAAGCTCTGTATTTGTTTCTGGTAGGAAAGATTATGAAAAATGTTAAAGAAAAAAATAGGCTCAAGATATGTGAGATTTTGATCTACTCCCATATATCAAAAATACTTATTTTTCTCATGGTAGGAATACTGAAAATAAGAACTCCATAGTGTTGCTAAGACAGATTAATATAAAGTTCCTAGGAGAAATTACGTCATGTCGATTCAGCAAATAATTTCCTTCCTTAGTTCTCCTTCTCTTTTATATCTTCTTTTCTACTTGAGGCCTTTGTTTATAGAGGAATATCATACAAGGGTACTCTTTGTGTGTAATCAAGACAGACCTGTAGGTGCTTTAAGCGATAATATCTCTTATTCGTTTCTGCCCTTGAGGCACTAACAGTCTCTTGAGTATGCTGTGACATTTCTCAGGCCTGTGACCTTATAAATGTATAGTGTTATTTAATTTAGTTCTGAACATTTTAAGTAAACGCTTTAATTTTCTAAATATATTTAATTACTATTAGTAGAGACCATAAACAGTTTATAGTTGCTAAGAAGTTTTTAGCCAACTCATTTTTTTTTTAGGTGTACAGACTAGATGTTACAACCTCCAGGAAGCATTCTTTGATTACTTAGATTTAGTTCAGTTCCTGCTCTGAAATCCCCACACTTCTCTATAATGGGAAGCAATGCAGTGATGTGTCCATAAGTTTAATTCAGTCCTTGGATCATGCCATCCTGGATTCAAATTTCAGCTTCGCCTCTTAGTGGACTCTGGCAAGTTACTTAACCTAAGTCCTCTCCCTCATCCACAAATTGGGATTAATAAAACGAGGTTAAAGGTTAAAGGAAAGATTAATAAAACGAGGTAGGGAGTGCCTGCACAGTGCCGAGCACCTGGTGAGCAATTAGTAAGTGTGAGGTTCTGTCATCATCATCATCACCATCTTCACTGTAATTGTTTGTTGATATGCTCGTCTTTCTCAATGGACTGAGGACCATATCTCTGTCTTCCTTTTATCCCCACCTCCTAACATACTTTCGGACACATAATAAGAGTTTAGTAACTTGATTGTTGAATGGTTGAGATGAATTTTGGTGGCTCAGATGACAGCAGTGGCTGCTGGGGTTCTACAATGCCTCCTCCTTAAAACACATAATTTTCATCTGTTATGCCCTCAAAAGCAATGAGATGAGGCCTGGTTCCTTCAGGAGGAGCTCCTAGACAGAGCAGGTGAGATCATGTAAAGCCCACAGCATCTTAGAGCTAATACAAAGTATGGGCTGATACCTACTGGCTGTTCAGCTAGGTTAGACATGCATGTGATTGGGGGGCTGCAGACCCAAGTAGAAGAATTTAGAAGACAGGTGAGTTGGAGCAATAGAGCTATTTTTCAGATTTCATTTTTTATCTGGCACCATATTATTTATGGAATTTGCCTTAAGGATAACACTTAGCTAAGTACTAATAAATAATAAATGCAAATAAATAATAATAATTAGCCAGAATTGGTGCTACTTCTAAATAAGGAAAAACTGATATTTACTACAAATGTAAGGAATGTCCATCACATCTTAAACAATTCATTAAGGGAGCGTATTATATTATGACCCTGCTCACCTGCCTTCTAAATTTCATCACAAAGCATATTTCAAATGAGTAATAATCTGTGATTGCATTGGCAAAAATATATTTCTAATATAAGTGAGATATCAAAAGCATTTTACCATGTAAGTACTCTAGTCTAATTCTAGGGCTTGCCATTCCACAGAGGCCGAAACTTTGCTATAGAAGAGCTTCATTTACACTTCCCGGGCAATGTAAGACATAAAGTCAGATTCCAGATGATTTTCCAACAGTTCATGTTCATTTGCATCCATTGCATTTACCCAAATACACCATAGGAGGGCAGCACACACCTGGTTAACTTAAACAGAACTGCATGTCTCATGGCCTTATCAAAATCGTTACCTAAATTAGTCTAAGATATTCCAAAATTACCACCTAGGTAGGAAAACTATTGGCAAAGAAAAAAGGAGCATAAAAGAATTCATCCTTTAAGACTCTGAGTTTCTACAAAAGGAAATCAATGAGCTAATCATGCTGCAAAGTGGAAAAACAAACAATTAAAGAAAAAAATTCCCCACAGCTACGAAAAAAGAAATATTTGTTACATTTGAAGGACCTTTACTGAATGTGTAATCTGAATACCAGATACTAAATGAGGATCAGATCTTCTTCCTATTAATAAGCAATAATTGATAAATTACTCTTCAACAAAAACTATAGCCTCATTAATTCAAGGCTGTAAATCCAGAATTTGTGACAATTTGGCTTAAATATTATCTACATAACGTATAGTGAAAGAGGTATGCTAATAAGCATATACTTAGGCTAAGCAGTTAGCAAGAGCATATGCTGCAAGTATTTAAGAATAATTGAATTTTTAAGTCTAACTCTAATTTTAACTTTTTTGCAAAATCTTTTCGCAGAAATATAATCCATGCATTATAACCAGCCTCCCTGGTGATTCTAGAATGGTCAGCCTGGTACCAGTAAACAGACTGTTCTCTGATTATTTTAGAACACCCAGCACATGGTCTTTCTTGGCATAGATGATTAACATAACTGATCAGCTAAAGCATAGACTTTTACTAGGTAGCACTTTGTCAACCTAGTGTGAGTTATATTATGTGACTTTAAAATGGCCAAAAATAAAACAAAAGTAGATTTCCCATTTGGGTTAGCTTTCTCCATCAGTCCAAATTACTAACAATTACTGTATAATAAACATTCTAAGATTTCTGCTATCAATTCTTGCTTTTGATAAATAAAATCTATTTTCAGAAAACTGTAAAGATGATTTCCTTCTCCAAAATCCTTTTATCAATCATGGAAAAGATTATATTGCATGCTTTTCTCAGTGTGCTCCTATGGGACTGATGATATGGCTGTGTGTCTTGACAAAGTCAGTTAGTGAATATATTCCACTTTAGAATAGCAGATCTAAGTGCTAAGCAAGTAACTATCATCATGTTCCAGTTCAGGACTTGAAGATTTTTGATTATATTAATAGACACTTTATTTTTAGATGTATCGAAGTACCAAATATGAATGGCCACGTATGTCCTAATATACTTGAGAAATCTCACTACTAATTTTGTCACTAATTTTTTAATACTGTATTTGAGAAAAGAAGTCTTATCTTTTCTATTGGCATGATTTGGTGGGGGGAGAAAGGTTTAATTCAGATGTTTTGTGTGAATGTACATTCCTCACTAAATCTCTCAGGCAACTGCTTTAGTTACCATTACTAACATAATGCTCTGTCGTCTCTTTGTATACATGTCTAATTTATCAGTTTCTTATAGATTGTCAGCAGCCTGCTGCCTCCGTACCGCCACAGTGCTCACAACTAGACGGGAGGCAAGACTGCCCTACTGTCAGGTAAATTTAGACGTCTTTTCCCTCTGCACCCAGATGCATGTCAGATCCATAGACCCCAATCTCTCCTTTCCAAACATAACTGTATTTGCTACATTTTATTTGAAAGATGGGTGACACAAACACACATTGGATACTTGAGGTCCATATGTGCTCTGTGAAATTCCAAGAGAGTTAAGAGTTTATTTTCCTGGCCGCTATTGGGCAGACTAAAGGTTTACTCACTGGTGTAGTAAATATTTGGATTAGTTCAGTGTTTCATTACCTTCCAAAATAGAAAACCTGGAATTGTTAGGATGTTTGGCTTATGTTTTCAGTTGTTTGTATTTTGTCCTTAGAATATCATTCTCAGGCAAACAATCAGGAAGGATATAAAGCACATCTTATGTCTATTCCAAGACAACTTTATGAAAGTGTTTCTGTTTTCTGTCTATTCAATGACCCTCATTAAAACTGAAATTGAAAGGTGGGGAAAAATTTATAATTGGCATTCAGAAAAAGAATATATGCAGTGATAGAGCCCTCTGGGTGAAAGTAACTGGAAAAATTTTAAAGACAGGTTTGCATACTTCCTGGACACTAAACTAGAAAGTTTGCTGACAATTTATATTCCAGTGAAAGCTTTGCAAATCCATTATGAAATCACTCTCCATCCTGGGTGAGTGTCAGAGCACCCCATCATCTTCTTCCTGTAATACTTCATATCCAGTTAACTGGCTTCTGATGATCCCAAGTTTTAAAATCTGGTGTGGCTTTTATATCTGCTTATCGTTCTTTCCTCATTTTAATGTATCTGTTGTTCTCCTACCAGGGCAAGGACTTCTTTTGAGTAGGGGCAGGCCCAAACATATTTCCATGTGTGTCTGAGGAATGGATGTCAGTAGTAGACTGCATGGGGTCATGGGTTAGCCGGAGAGCTGTGGAGCCACAATGCTGCCCAGAAACACAGCAGCAGCCAAAGCCCCCGCGTGACTTGGTCTCTGAGGCTGTTATATAGCCAGCTGTCTGTGTGGGACAGTGAGTTAGCAGGAAAAGTACATGATTAAATAGGCCCCAAGCCAGTGTCCCCCGATCAATGTCTCAGCCTGCCATTTCCATCACTTCCAGCAACAGGGTTTTTACTTTGGGAAAGTTCTTTAAAAACATACAAATGCCATTTTATAACAGGAGCCAGCTATAGAGTAATTTCAATTATATAAGTAATTAAATATAATAATTATAAGTGTTCAAACCCATCTCATTGGGATTCTATGTGTGTAGTGGTGAAGAACGTGGACTCTTAACCTGTAATCTGTTCTCCATCAAACACCCCTCTTCCCACCCAGGGCCTGGGATGGCGACAGGCACATGACAGGTGTTCAGAACTGTTGTTTCCAGGAATGAGTGAAGGAGCTCAGGAGTCAGACTGCTTGGGTTTGAATTCCACCTCTAACACCTACCAGTTGTGTAATCTTAGAAAGTTGCTTTTGCTGCCTGAAATTGCATTTTTTTCACTTACAAAGTAAGACAGGGAGTGAGGCACAGACCTGGCCCCATCGTGTGCTCTTGATACCTGTGATGGCTATTAACCTTTCCTCAGGACAAAGACCCACCGGCTCCTTTGTAGCCTTTCTCATTTGCTTGGGCAAAGAGTGGAAAGGCTGGTGGAGAATATTTTTAACTTCATTTCACCTTTCTTTTATCGGAGAACCAGTTTGACAAAACAGTTACCTGCCCCAGTTTCATATCTTCTGAAAAAACGGATTTTAGATTGCTTGCTACCTCCATATGGATGATTTACTTTAAGGAAAAGCAATTTAATGAATTACAACTGTTTCTGGTTTCCACCCACGTGAATATAGCATGGTCCAGAACAGGTTTCTACGGTCCCCCCTTGTGGTCCGCACAGAGAAATGATAAAATGCATGCAGAGCTGAAAAGGCTGTCCTCTTCAGAGTTCACCGGGCTTATGAGTGGCTTCCTTCCCACCCATGCCCGCTACCAGATGGATTGATTTTAACGTCCTCCTTGCCCTTTTCACTTCCTTCTGGCAGAAAAGTTAACACATAGCCAAACTTTGAATTCTTATCGTATACAACTTAAATTCTTTACCCTTGTTAGTCATCACAACACCCATAAGGTAAGCACAGTTATTACAGCCATTTTAAAATGAGGAAACCAAGGTTTGAGGAGGTAACATGACTTGTCCACGGTTACCCATCCTGAAAGCAACTGAGCTCAATGACTCTGGCACCCATTCTAACCACCAGCAAACACGCGACACCCCACCCTTTAGTTATGCTGTGAGGAGCAAAGTCAGAAGATTATTTAAATAACCCATGTTGGCACTTTACCCCTGAATCAAAAAGGAATGTTTGTTTAACAAGAAACAAAACGTGCTAAGAATGTTGAGTGATTTCATATCAGGTGTTCTACCTCTGTTTTTCACTTTAAAAATGGTTTTACTTCCTACAGTTTATACATATATTCAAATAACTTTTTAGGTGTATGGTTTTGAATAAAAACATTTTCTCATATTTAAAAATATAAACTCGTATGTACTTTTTACAGACCAATTCTATTGTAGAGTAAGTTGTTTATAGATAATGGAAATGATGTGAAACAGATGCCCAAAGTGTTGCAGCCTTGGATGTAATATTTAAATATAGAGAGAGGTTTGGTATTTAGCACTTCTCCTCAACAACTTGCTTGCTTAGGGGGAAAAACATTCTGAATATATACCCATTTTATATCTTAGTAATAGTTCCTAGGCCTACTGTTCACAACATGGTTTTACCTACATAAAGTAAGCTCTTGAATGGTATAGGTTGAATGATAAAAGAGCTCTTAAAGATATTTAGGAATCAGAGCTGAAACTGAATTCATCCTATATCTGAAATGATTAAAACATATCAAATATTTACATTCGAGAAATAATTTCTTAATCTGTAAGCCAGAAATATGCTTCTCTCATATAATATACAGTGTGATTGCATTTTATGCAAATTTTAAAAGTAATACTATAATATAAAATATTTATACTCTCATTTCATGTAAGGAATCTGAAATAATGGAAAAAAATTATTTTTCAATTACAGTTGACATTAAATATTATATTGGTTTCAAGTACAACACATAGTGGTTAGACATTTATAGAACCTACGAAGTGATCCCCCCGATAAGTCTAACCCACTTGACACCATACTTAATTATTACAGTACTACTGGTTATATTCCCTATGCTGTAATTAACATTTCCCTAACGATTTTGTAGCTGCCAATTGGTACTTTTTAATCCCCTCACCTTGAAAAAACTTTTAATTATCATGAATGTATCATGTCAAGATATTGGGCCAAGTGAACCCCAGCCTGTGTTTCAGCTGTTGCTCCTTGTCTTCCTTTATCAATAAGAGTATTGAACTACACGCAATCTTCAAAAACTGATTCTTCTTATGCTACTTGCCATAACTTATGTTGAATAACATGCTTAATCCCCTGAAAAGAAACTGATTCTAGATTATGAATATTTAATGGGAAGAAACCCTGTCGAGTCTGTGGGAAGGTCTGTCTGCTGCTGTTTCCTGGGCCATCTGACCCTGTCTGGAGGGTAGAGGAAGAATCTTGCCATGCAGTATTTTCTCGGTCCTTTTGTTAATGCTCCAGGTCTCTCATGTTTACCTACCATGTTTTAAAAAGAGATAGGAAAAATTTTTATCACTGGTTGTTCTAACTAGTACAGAAGAGCATGTCTCCTTTTAAACTAAATTTATAGCAGTTCAAAGACTTTAGGAAGAGAGACCTCAAGCAGATCGATATTTTACATAATTATGATTTTGTATCAAAATTCAAGAGATATACACAAAAGATAATTTCAGTACCAAAGATTAAAATTTTAATGCTAATTTTAAATGAGTTCAATGGTAATATTAGCCAAAAAAAAAAAACCAAAAAAACCCATAAAACTATGTTTATATAAATAAATAATAATAATAAACTTTGAATAGTTTTCTCAAACACTACCTATGGCAGAAATGAATTCTGTAGTACCGAATTCATGATATAAGGGTGGAAAGCAGAGTTTTAGGAAAACACCAGTCTCTTTCAATAAAACAAAAATCCACGTAGTGGGATTTCTCTCCCGTTAGATTTCAAAAGGTCTGAACCTAACTGGGATTTGCAATTTTACCTTAGGAAATTCAATAAGTTTGCTTTCTTATTCTTCACCACATTGATGAGCCTGAGTGTTTTGTGTTTATTTAAACCAGAGGCTCTCAGAGGTCTACTTAATAGAATATGTCTTAACTCTTTAGTCTTATTTAAACTACCAAGCTAAAGCATATTAGGATTCCCTTGGCAAATTGAATTCACATCAGAGAACTGATTTAGAATCTTAAAGCCTTGGTCCAGCACCAGGAGCTTGTTAGAAATGCAGATTCTCAGGGCCCACCTCAGATCTATGGAACCAGAATCTGCATTTTACCAAGCATCCCAGGCAGTTGATATACACATTAAAGTTTGAGAAGAATTGATCTAAAGAAACCTCACAACTAACCCAGACACCTAAGGGAAGGAGACGGTGTGCAAAAATTGAAAAAAGCAATCCCAAGGAAGAGTTTACATGTCATTCCCTAACAGGTCTTACTTTTCCGTTTTGTTCATGATTTTGAAAAGCTGCAGTTGTCTTGGCATGCTTTCTTTTTCTTTTTTTTAATTTTTTTTTTCCTTTTCAAAGCATGCTCAGGGGAGAGAATTGGCATGCTTTAGATTCAAATCATTTTCCATGCGAAATTTCTGTCTGTTTGGTTTTTTTAATTTCTGTGAAAATAATGTGTCTGTCTAACCCTACACGTATACCTGGCCCCTTATAAATGCGTTTCTTGCTGACATGCTTGTTTCTCATTTTCAGTCCTGACAGAGCTCTCCCTGACGAGCAGCCACATTCCAGCTCGCAGTGCTCCCCTCTCCACTGTCTCTCCAAGCCTCCGTACCCCTAGTCTTCATCTCCTGTCGACGAATATCTGGGGTGAACATTTCGTAGCCACACCCAGGATACTGCCCACAATCCAGCGGGTGTTTTCTTCTCAGTTGTTAGATGTATGATGGAATTAGTGCCCATCATTTTGGAAGACGAAAGGAAGTTGAGAAGAATAACACAACACACAGACTCCAATGTGATAAAATGTTTTTTGATTTCTCTAAGTCACAGATAAACTTCTGCAATCCAATGGCTACAGTTCTGTTAAATGACTGCAGTTCCTGTAAACAAAACAAAACAAAACAGGACACATGTATCTCAAATGTCTGGCTTTACCTCGATAGCATAAGAGAGACCTAAGACAATGTAAAATACATAGACCGTAAAATCATCTTTCTTCATATTTCACATTTGGCTATAGAAGTTGATTCCAATATTTTTTCATCATTGATATTTATTTTGTATTTTATTTGCCATATGATTTATGTCTACAAAATTCATTTCTGTGAGAGGTGAACTTAATTCATTTATTTTTAAATAAGCATAATTTGCTCAATTAATTATGAGTTTTAATTTAGTTCGAAACCTGGAATTGGCCAGACGGTCATTTTTCTTGCACAAAATGATAAATGAGGTGCATCAGAATGTTAACAATAACGATTTTGCTGCTACACTTACATTGTTTATGCACTTATTTTCTAATCAATAGCTCATAAACTGCTGGGGTTTTTTCTTTTTTACTAGAATTCTTCACTGGACATTAAGTAAATCTAAGAAAGAGACTATGTTATGAGTCATTGACTTATTCAACTTTTGACGGCATCTTTAATTTTTAAAAATTGCAGACAAGTAGATGCACTGGTGCTGCTCCCTTGTGAGTGAGTGAGTGTGTGTGTGTGTGTGTGTGTGTGTGTGTGTGTGATAACGTTAAAGAACGCTAAATAACATGAAGGGAAAAATGGTGTGTTTATTTACTGACCAGAACTTTGTTTTTACTTCTCCCAAATTCAGGGTCCTATTATGAGTCTTTCCTGCTAAAAGGTACCAAGTATAAATGGAAAAAATAGATAGATAGAAAGATAGATAGATAGATATATAGATAGATAGATAGATGTAAGTTAGCCTTCAGTTAATGAATTTACCCAGAAAGTGTTCAAATTTTGATTAAAAATGTGTTTTGTTGTTGTTTTTTTCATAATGAATCTTCCTTGCCAAAAAAACAATAGTAATAAACTTTAGCTCATTGTCTACTTTTGACAAACACTCAGGTGCCTACAATCATTATACATATTGAGATTAATACATATTCCTAGTTAATTTACTTATTCTGCTGGGTAACTTTTTCGACTTGATTTAAGGCAGTGGATTTTCATAGCAAAATTTCTTTTGCTCATAATCTGACAAACAAGGAAAACAGCTAATTGAGCTGAAAGGTCTAACACTCTTGAGCTCCTTAACTATCAAGTGCTGCCCACACAATTGCTCCTAGTCTTGATTCCTTGTTTAGCCAGGTAGCCTTAACTTATTTAAAACCATAACAGTTTGACCTTTTCATGTAACAATATCTGTAACTTCTCTTTAAAACAAAAAGAATCCTCACTGTTCACACAAAAGAAAGTTAACAATGCAGGGCTCTAACAGCGGAGATCTAGTTAGAGCCACCGAGCTTATTGAGTGGAAGAGGGAGGGACATTAAGAAACGGTTCATCAAAGATGGCAGCCAGTCAGTAAAGTCATAAAGCACAGTGCAGGAGCTTTCATCAGTCATACACCTATTAGTTTAGTGTTCACTATTACCAAAGCAACCAAGAGGTGTTGAGTTTCATATATGAGTGCTATTTTCAACAGTGTCATTTATTATGCAACTTAGAATACTTGGAGATCTTCACCTTAAATAGGGATTCAGGTTAAAGTACAGAAACAAATCTTCATAAAATCTTGGTCACAACTGCCTAACCTTCTGTCCTTTCCTATCTGCATTGCCTTGCTGTTTCTAAATATCTTAATTTTATTGGTGTTGTATCTGCCTAGTACCAATATTAATGAGACAGTGTGGATTATATTAGAGTTCAGTTAAAGGACACTACTCTCCACCACACACACACACTTCTGCTTTATTTTTTCCTTCCTTCCTTCCTTCCTTCCTTCCTTCCTTCCTTCCTTCCTTCCTTCCCTCCTTCTTTTCCTCCCTCCCTTCCTTTATATTTTTGTTATTTCTTCTTCAGGCATCATGTGTTTGGACCTGAGAAGTAGCATAGATGCAAAGTTGATTTTTAATGAAAACTTACTGTACCTGAGGGAAAAATACGCCTTTTAAAAAAGTACCTCAGAACATCTTCCTCTATTGCCTCATCAATTTTGTTGGCAGTACAGGGAATTCAGCAGTAAGTTTGTCTCTGTGTAACTATAGGGCAGTAATGCTTACTGACAGCACAGTACTGCATTTTTGCTCCCTTACTCTGTATTTGTGACCTGATGAAAGGCCGAGTCACAGAGAACACATTTATTTCTTCCAATATAAAGTTTTTGAACTCTATTATATATGAATTTTATTTCAGTTCCTTTATGTTAGCAGAGTGGGAAATCTTCATTTAGAAATACCAATTCTATAAAAACTTTAATTTTAGCAAAGCTTTGACAAGAAGATATAGAAACTTGAAAATAAATGTCTAATTTTCAGCACATAATTAGATAATAGTCCCTCAGCAATGAGAGAGAATTCCATGCATTTACACTGTGGCATCATTTAGTAGAATTTAAATGGAGCCATATCTATATTTATAGGCATTTAAAATGAATGAATATGTGTAGCATTGATAACATCAATGCCTGTAGAGAAACATGAGGATTCAAAAGGAAACTGAAAAATTGAAGAACTAGTGAAAATCAAAAAGAACAAACCTCAGTAAGACCAGCCGAAGACGAATAGGCGGGTGGAAAGGACTGCGGAAACACAATAAAACCCTGGCTAATTATTGCAAACAGTGGGCAAAGATTAAAAGTAACTAGAAAGACTGGTTAGCAAGGTTACCAGGTTGTTTTTAAAAAGTAAGCACAATTACCAAACTGAAAAGATTAGCATGCAGAAGTGCTCTTTCTTACTGAGGATTTTTCTTCATTAGAACATAAAATAAAAAGGAGCGTTACACTGTTTTTGGCCTGAGTGCGCAGGGGCACACAGGGCCCTCAGATTAAACTTTCCAGGCTCCTGATTCATCACATCCCTTTCATGTATTCAGTTTTGTCTTGATAAGAGGGATTTGGATAACTTCAAGAAAATAAAGTTATTAAATAAGAAAAGACCTATTTAGAAAGATTATACTTTAGCCTAAGGAAAAAGGTACACTAGTGATCTGAAGAAAATTTAATAAACGGTTAGTGCCAGCTATAGATATCAGCACTAAAACCCGAATAAGAAAAACAAAGTCTTCAGTGTGAAGAATTTATACTAATTTCTAGAAAACAGATTCTTAGCAGTGGAAAATTAATCATCGAAATTGATAATTATAAGGAAGATTTGATTTTTTAATTAAATGTTATCGGTCGTCTAGTAAGGATTAAGTGGCAAGATACGATAATGTATTATCATTCTAGAATTTCATAATCCAATGATTCCTTTATTTTAAGTTTAAAGATGAAGTTATTTTGTTTAGTCATAAAATATTTTGACTAAAATATTTTATTACTCATAAAATATTTTATTCCTTGAAAATAAGATAGCAATCTTAATTTTTCCAAAATATTTGGTAAAAAGCAAACATGATTTTGGGTATTTTTTTCTTGCAGCTGCATTTCATAATATCTTTGAAGCTGTCCAGATTGTAGTAATTTAATATAAAAAGCCTCAATTGTCAGAGTCCAAGCAGTGAGAGAGAAACCAACAGCTTCAAGAATACTTTAGAAATAGGAGGTATGCAATCCCATAGAGGGGTAAATGCCTCTCAAACCTTGTTTTCTTAAAAGAATCATCAATAAATTATTTCCTTTTTCCTTGCTCTGGAAAATATTCTGGAACATCTTAAGTCGTTCTGTTTTAAACAAGCATGAAGCATCATTGATCAAGAAAACTATAAATGTGAACATTTCCTGGTATTCTGCATTAAATAAAATCAGTAATTCTCGAGTGGTAATTACAAACGATGAAAAAGAAATAAAATATATTTTATACGAGGTTTAGAATGGCAAGCTTAATGTATAATTGTTCTAATCAATCAGCCAAAAGACATAATCTGTCTCTCAGAAAGACACATCAGGGGAAACTGATTTCTGGTAAGCAACTACTGGTTTCAACCGAAGGATGCCGCAAATGCATTAATATTGTAGATATAAAGTAGGATTAGATTCAAAAGGAGCTCTTAGGATAAGGTTTACAATTTTAAAAATTTGCCCTCCGACTTTTTGTTTGTTTATAAACCAGAGTGGTTTGAAAATAGTGCTTGTATTTAAGATTGCAAAATTTACAAGAATGTTTTCACATAAATGGAACATAATTCTTCAAAAAACTGTTGAACTGGAGGTGTGATAGGTAGTATGATCAGTGCTATTATTGGCATAATTTTTACCTTAAAATCAATTTCTATGGACATACAAGACCAACCTAGCCTCCCGAGTGATCTTTTCCATTGTCTGTAATAATGCTCTCAGATGAGTTGTGTCTGTAATTAAATTTATCTTTATTTAAATGCTAACTGCCACTGACCCTGGTATATTGCATTTATAGTCTGATTCTGTTATAATAACATCTGAAAGATTTCATTTAGACATCTCTCCGTCCTCAAAATATCACAGAAATGGATATTTATTATTAAAATAAGTTCTTCAATTGAGGGTTTTCCAGAAATAATACCCTACTTGTGAAGAAGAGCAGCAATTAACTGCCTTTAGTGTAAGGGTGTGAGTGCATAAAAGAATGCTGTGTAAAATGTTTGCATGAGATATTTCGCATCATGTAAGCTTTCCCATATTCATAATATGAACACTATAGAAGTCTTATTTTCCTGTGATTTCTCCATTAGGAATGTAAGGAGATTGGTACCTATATCTGATCTCCTTTCCATATTGAAATGCATGGCTCTAATCCTCAGTGTATTTTTATACCCTTCCTCTGGAGTTATTTAAAATTTGTCTTATTTAAAGTAATGTTTAGATAAACCGTTGAGCCAGATAATTTCTGTGATCGGAATTTAATTGCTCTATAACATTGGTTGAGAACACATTTTAACTTTTTTTCTTTCAGAATTCTCTGATCATTATGGTTCTCTAATGAAAACACTGAGAAGAAAATTCGATGCATTTTAGCGTGACTATGTTTTTCTTTTTAAAAAGTAGTTTTAAAATAAAGATCAGAGAACTATAAAGAGAAATGTCATTTTGTTGACAAATCATTATTTGATAATAATGGAGATACATGGAGATACAGAATGAAGCATTTTGTTGTTTGGATTCATAGTATGATTGTGTACCAAATCTTAAGAGGAAGTAAATGATTTTAACATTATTGCCACAAAATTTTTAAGCTCAATGGTTTGACTGTTAGAGTCGATTAAATAATTCTTTGAAAATCTTTTATGACATTTTTGTAATCTACTCAGTGTTTTCATTTGCATGATTATGCACATGTGATGAACCATACATAAATCTGATACTGCATTTCTTCCAAGTATTAATATTTGTGTAATGAGTGTCCAACCTCAATTTGTACACTGTATGATTATCATTGTAAAGATTCTGCTATTCCTATATTTCATTGCAATTTTGTTATGCTTTTGGGGGTTAAATTATGTGAAGCATTTCCACCTAATGATAATACCATATGAAAACATGACTTAAAGACCTAAGAAACTCTTTTGCGGCTAATTATTTTTTAAAAATTCAAATTTCAAAGGAAACATGTTCTCAAAGACGTGCATTTATTTTAAATTAAAAAAAAATCCTTATGAATTTATTATTGCTTGTCCTTTAAAAATTATTATTTTTTTTGTGGACATTCCTAAGTGACTGTCTCATGGGAGAATCCATCTACGTGCTTGCATTTGTGTTACCTGATCATGCACTCAATGGTTGGAAAAGGTACTCCAGTGCTAAGAAAGTAACTGAAACCAATATATTAAATTCTTATCTTGGTTTATGTTACCAACTGAATATGGTGTAATGCATAACTCTTCCCAGTAAATAAACTGGTTACCTTTTGTTCATTTCATTTATGCTACTTTTTTTTTTTTTTTACCAGTTTGAGCAATTTTTCTGTATGTCATTTTGGTTTGTACCTAGGAAAGAACATAGTTTATGAATTTCTACATGATTTATATATTTATTTAAAGTGAACACTTATTTGAACTAACAACTGAATGCTCTGCTTTGATATTTCTACACATTATTAAGAAATATGTATCGACTTTCACATTTTCTCCATTTATCATCTCCCCTCCTTGTAATCTTTTTAAGAGGTTATTTTGGCAGGAGGATACAATTAGAGGAATTAGATTAGAAATGTATCAGCATGAAAGAAATGCCTGTTCTAAAAAAGGGAAACATGATTTTGATGATGAAAAAAACATGATTTTAATGAAAGAAAGATGAAGTTTGTATGCCTTATTTTCAGAGATAATTCTTTGTTCTCTAATATGAAGGAACTGCAGAGTCTGAAAACCTTGGGAAAGCTTAATATATTAGCTCCCTCTTCAAATATGTGTTGTGTGTTGTAGCAAATCAGCGACTTTTGGGTCATCTACTTTGACTTGATTTTATTTCAAGAGGCAGGGAAAGCAGAGAACCAGACAGAATATAGACTTCTATGAGATTCTAATGAGTTAAAACCTCCAATATAATAGTCGTTATAATGAATCAGATTAATCTACCATGGGCACTGCAACAATCCCAGCTAATGTTGCCTGCTTATCTGTTGTATAAATACAACATTGGAAATAATAGCATAAACTTTCCTTAAAATTTCTTTTTTTTCTTCTGAAAGCTATTGTTTTTCTTTGAAGTGTATTTAATCTTTGATTTTTTCTTATGCAATAAAGCTGATAGTTTGTTACATTCAAAAGCTAAAACAATTGGATCGGCCTCCAAGAGTGTCAAGAAAGTTTCTTCTCATTCCTAAATTTTGCAAGAGAGTTGGATAGCACTATATGTGAGGGCAATGTGGACCATTCCTGCAACACCACTGGAGGTAAGAAAGAGGCTAGGATTGGTGGGAATTTGTAGAAGGGCTTTTCTTAGTTTTGATTGTATGTGCATTGACTAGTACATTGCAGGAACTCAGTAAAGTAGGTTCCTTGCCATCTAGCTTTTCTTATAACACATCTCAAATTCAGTTTATACAACCTATGTCACCTACTACAGTATCAACAGGCGCTAAATTCCAACTCACTGGGGAAAATGGTTATTCCTTTCATTGTCTGTTGGTCAATCTAAAAATTAGATTGCTTACATTGTATTTGAAGGAGATTTAAAGTGTACAATGAAATTCTTCTTAAAGATTTTGTAAATCAACTATCAAACACTTTAAGAAGAAACTGAAAATAATTCATCTACAATGTAACTGTCATGGAAGATAAATCTTACTGGAAAAAATATGGCCATTGCCAAAAGTAAACAATTTATAATATTTAAATGTAGAAAGCAATACAAAGACAAATAAATATAATGACATCTGTTAAATAGTAAAGAAATGTTGCCACTGTCTACATAATTTGTGAGACCCAGTGCAAAATGAAAATGTGTACCCCCTTGTTCAAAACTTATTAAGAATTTCAAGACAGTGGCAGTAGAGCATTAAAAACCAAGCAGGGAGTCTCAAGCACAGGACCCTGTGTGACTACAGAGGTCCACATGGTCATGAAGCCAGCCTTGCCCAGAATGTGCTGAAATAATGATACAGGACCTCAAAACTGAATGTAGCTATGCAAAATCTGGGCTTTACTTCTAACAGAATGAATTTTCCAGTTTCTGTGCTTAGAAGAAAAAATAATGTGTTTATGTTCTGGAGGAAAAAAAAAATACTATTACTTCAAAGGGTTATAAATTTGAATCTTGCAATACTCTCGTGTTCTAACACAGCCATACATTTTGATTCAAAGTTTCTAAACTTTCACATATGTACCAAGTTGTACAAAGATTATAAAAATCAAAAGAAATTCAAAATATCAGCAGTAAGCATTATAATTACTGTATATTGAAGTAAAACTAAGAACCCTACTGATACCTTCATAACTTGACTTTCTTTGAAGTTTTAAATTATTAATAATGTCATCAAATGTCACAGGAAGATTTGCATCATTTAAAAGAGCTATTAGCACAAGATTAATAAGTGATTTATATCTTTTTCTCCAAATAAATGAAAGGAGAAAGAAATTATTCACCTCATTGAAATCCATTGACACTGAAAAGATGGGCTCTCATGCTATATTAAGCTACCCAGTATGTAAATAAGAATATATATTATTTTTTCCTTTTTTGGATAAAGTAACAGTGGAAACCTATAGAAATGGTTATCTGTAAGAGAGCAAAGGATTGATGGGAGGGAATGGAGAGAGGGGTCAGATTCCTCCACAGGTGAATGAATGTCTTTTTATATTGTTTTTCTATTTCAACCATGGAAATACAGTACCTATTCAAAAATTAAAATATAAAGAAATACGGGCTCTCAAAAATTTCATGGAGACTTTGCAGAAACATGGTGGAGTGAGAGACATCCCCAAATCTCTTCCCTTGAAACAACAATAAGCTGAACACCTAAAACTCAAGAAAAAACACCCAGACTGCACACCAGCATGTCTGAGCGTGGGATCTGAGCATAAGAGCTACCACAGGTCAGAACCCTGGGTGTCGGGCGATGGACTGGAAGAAATAAAGAAGCTGTCTCTCACAGCCAGAGCTCTCTGTAGCAGGACAGGGAGGGGAGAAGGTGCAGTGACTTCCCTGAACAACCCTGCCTGAGAGTGCCCTGATCTCCATGCGGCCGGCAGCAGGGCTCAGTCTTCAGGGCAGAAAGCAGAGAAGCGGGACAGGACCACAGAAAAACAACATTGATTCTTACCAGCCACAGTTACAAAACGGAGGCTGAGGTGCAGCCCCCAGCCCCCAATCCAGAAGGCCTCTCCCTCCATATTCTCCAAGACCAGTCACCGTGGAGCCCCAGGGGGATCTGAGCAAACACTGCTGACACTGTTGCTGACACTGACAGGGACTGAAACTGAGGGTAGAGAGCGTGATTAAATATCTACAAGAAATTTTTTTTAAAAAGGCATTTTTAAGGCTTTATATAAAGCAGGGATCCAAGAGGTTTAGATGCCACCTACTGGAACCCAAAAGAAAACCGCCTTCTTTGCAACAGGCTAAGGAGATACCGTTACATAATAAACCTTCTTTCTGGAAAAACAGCAGAGTACACTTCCATCAATGCCCAGGCAGAGAAATAGTTCATTAAACACCATGAACAACCAAAGTGACAAGGCATCTCAAAAGAAAGAAAAATCTCCAGAAAATAAGCTTACAGACATAGAAATATGCAGCTTAAATAACAGAGACTTCAGGATGATACTTCTGAAAAAACTCAGTTCTGAAACAAGTCATATCAGCAATTTCAGGAATTAAAAATCAACTAGATGAGCAGAGCAAGGAGATTGAAATTCTCAAAAAGAACTGAATAGATCTTCTGGAGTTAAAAAGAAAAACACACTGCAAGAGTTGAAAAATGAAATAGCAAGCTTGGAAATAGACTCAACCAAATGGAGGAAAGGATCAGTGATATCAAAGATAGAAATCTAGAAATAAATCAGAAGGAAGAAGAGATAAACCGAAAAATAAAAAATAAAGAGAAATACAAGAACTAGCTGATACCATCAGGAGAGGAAACATAAGAATAATGGGCATTATCGAAGACGAGGAAAAGGAGCAGGGACTAGAAAGCATTTTCATACAAATGACGAAAATTTACCAAATCTAAGGAATGAGCTGGAGCTTGAAATTTAAGAAGTCAACAGAACACCCAATTATCTCAACCCAAAAAGGCCTTTACTGAGACATATTGTATTAAAATTATCAAAAATCAACAACAAAGATAGAATTTTCAAGGCAGCCAGGGAGAAGAAAATGGTAACATATAAAGGAAAACTTATTCAATTATCATCAGACTTTTCAGCACAAGCCAGAAAGGAATGGAATCAAACATTCAAACTATTAAGCGACAGGAACTACCAGCCTAGAATAACGTATCCAGCTAAGCTCTCCTTTCAATATGAAGGAGAAATTAAGACCTTTCCAAATATACAAAAATTGAGGAAATTCTCCACTATGAGGCCTGCACTACAGGAAATACTTAAAGGTGTCAGCTCATTTAAAACAAAATAACAAAACAAAACAATACATAATTAGGAGTAAAGTGACTATCAGGCAAATAGAAGCAGAGAAGTGCAACCCTTACTAAGAACAGGGCATTATAAGCTTAAATAATAAGAAGTGAATTGTCATAACAAGATAGTAATGAATATTCAGCATACATAGTGACAAATTGAGACGACAATGACAGAAAAGGGGAGGATTCCAAGATCCATATTTGCAAAGGGGAATGGAGATAAGGCACATGCAGAAGAAAATGGACGACTGTATATATATAACTATCCTTTACATATTTGTAATGGTAACCACACACCAAAGATTTAGAACTGAAGTATATAATATAAAACAAGAAGAATCAGAGGCAAAATCCACAAAAACAAACCGAAATAAAGAAAATAGAAACACAAGGACAAAGAAGCAATGGAAACACTGAGCTACCAGAAAGCAAAAGATAAAATGGCTATAAGAAGACCTCATATTTCAATAATCACCCTAAATGTAAATGGACTGAACTCACCAATAAAAAGGCACAGAGTTGCAGAATGAATAAAACAACACAACACAACCATTTGCTGGCTCCAGGAGACACATCTCGGCTCCAAAGACAAATATAGACTCAAAGTGAAAGGGTAGAAAATGATATTTCAAGCAAATGGCATTCAGAGAAAAGCGGGAGTTGCAATACTAATATCAGACAAAATAGACTTCAAAATAAAAAAGCTAAAGAAAGATACTGAGGGACACTTCATAATGATAAAGGGAATCATGCACCGAGAACACGTAACACTTATTAATATCTATGCTCCCAATCAGGGAGCTCCGAAATATGTAAAGCACTTACTAACAGGACTAAAG